AAACTTGCACCAAGGGAGTGGCACTCCAATTTCGTTGTACTCTGTACGATGACAATAAAGGCTATTCTATTCTATATTATATTTAGATGGAAGCTAGCGAGCTAACACCCTGCTAACTTCTAACTCCATTAAATTATCACCCACTCTGTGCAAGAGCATTAGAAATTAACTGCAAAAACAACTTTCATGGTAAGTCATGTACACGTCCCAATTCTCGATAAATCTCTACCAAAACCTCATCATAAAGGCTGTAACTTACAATTTGTTTTAGCATTTTGACAAAGACTGATTGAAACTAATATATATTCATGTTTTTGATTTTAGTTTTATTAGAGCACAAAATTAATTCAGTTGCTTTACTCTTCTTTTTTTTTGTGCAACTCAAAGTGCACGTTTATTATCACATCACTGCCAGCTTTGCTCGTAAATATAAATGTTGTTGCTGCACAAGTAGCAGCACTGGTGGTGGCTACTATATCATTTATATGGCTTTCTTATGATTTAGTAGCCAGTTGTTATATCCATGTCTGCCTTACATTTTGTGCATTTTTTCCTACACGATTACTTGACTGCAGACAAATTTTAGACTTTTCTTAAAGTAGTCTGCTTGTTTTTATGGACAAATACCATTCAGAAAAACATGTACAAGCAATGTATATATTACAGCATATTATTTACACAACACAAGTGTACAAAGGCAAACAAAAAAGAACAATCACACGCTTATTTGCTATTATAATGTGCACATTATGACATAATACCAATATTTCACCTTTAAATATTGTCGTTATCATGACACCTAATGTACAGTCCCAAATGTTTTAAATTATTTTCTGATACGTCTTCTTGAGGGATGGACTGGTTAAAACACACACATTTGACACAAATGAGTTACAGTGATTTCTGATTGAAAGTGGATTAATGTTACCTGTGTCTGATCAGTTTTGTTAGTTAAACCTGACTGAAGCTATTAAACACTCACCCAGGTGACAGCCCATTTTACGTACTTCAAACCAAAGCAAATCCTAATAACGAAACAATTTGGCATTCCAGCAGCAAAGCATCTTGTCTAACATTTGTATGCCAAATGTTGCATCTATCTGGGGAGAAAGCAACATTACACCACAAAAAAATGATAAAACAATCAATGAAAATGGAAGATCTAAATGTCGCCCAAGCAATTTAATTATCTCACTCAGAATAAGCCAGAGGACTGATCACTTCATTGGTTCAGAGTGAGTCGCACATCCCAATATCCTTGGCCCTAATGAGCACCCCAGGGCTGAAATAAAGAGCACTGTGACTCCAATAGTGCTTCAACAACTTCAGTCCTATTCAAACAGAATCATTACAGACAGAAAGGGATTAAATTGCCTCAGTTCATTGCTGATGCTTCAGCTATGTGAAAAGCAGGCCTGCTGTTACTGCAATATGCTCATAGCATGTTTACTATGTAAATTACAAATAAAGAGCACATAAAAAGCAGGGTCGAACTGCCTGTGCCGGGTCAACACGCTGTGTCACCTTTCACTTAATGTAATCTGAAGTGCAGCTGACACCTGACCTGTCTGGCCTCGCTCTACTGAAATAAGGCTAGAACAACCACCGAGTAGGTGAATGAACACACATGCAGGAATTGTAAAAATCAATCATAGCTTCTCTTTATAGCAATGCTACAACAGCATATTCATCTCTTTTTTTGTTTCCATGCATCTACAAATCCGATAAATCAGGACTCTGGTTTGTTCAAATATTTTGAGTTCATGTGCTTTGGTTCGCAGTTTTAAACCCTTGTGAAGCTCTCAGTGTTGTAGAAAAGAAAAAGCACACCATTCCATCCAAAATAATGAGAAGCAGGAGGAAGGTAGAGCATCCCGGTGGAAAAGGAGTTTATTTTAGTAGTTTTGTGTGCAATCACACACGGCAACAACACACAAAAGTCCAGGTTACAACTTAGCCCAGCTACACTACCATCAGGAATATTATGATACAAGGTCAGCTGCTCGATTATGGAAAACATCACGATCGCAATCCTTTTTCATCAACTGTATTTAAAATTATTATTTATTGTTAGGTTAAAAATTATAATTTTTTCTGAAGTAATGGGTGTGGTGGGGGACACAGTGTTAGATCAGGAATTAGGCCCAGATTGGCCAATGATTTTCAATGTATAGCCCACACATGGACAAAATACAGCAAGAGGGCCAGAACTAGCCTAGGAAGAAGGGGTTTTTTTTTGTGTGTGTCCACCCCTGCTATGGCCTTTCTTTCCCAAGGGCAAACACTGGTCCCTGCAGCTTCCACAGTGGTATGTCTGTTGTTGCAGACAGGGGCAACGAGAGGCCAAGGTGGCATCAGACTAGCACACTTCAGTGGGCCTGCAAAGAGAACGATGGCACTGAGCACAAAGGGGAGAGCGTAACACAAATCAAGCTGCAGTCAACTTTTAATTAACCTTCCATGGGTTGGAATACATAAACATTTTACAACTTCTACTTCTTTTGGATAGACTGTGCTGGCCAAAGGCTCTCTCTTTCTCTCCACCATCTTGCCTAGAGCGGAACTAAACTGTGGTTTGCAGGGAGGGGTGAAAACACCACTTTCTTTATAACGACACTAAATGAGAGCAGACTAAAAAAATTTATACAAAAGACTGACTGCTTTCTCCAGATTCTCTCATCTTTTCTGTTGCTAAAAGCCAAAAATTTGAAATTAAATTAAGATCTGATTAACAGCCCAGAATTTTTATCAACAGCTTTACACAAAACCTTCCTCTCCGGGAACTAACCAACCGTCTTTCAGGAGAACTAACCTGCAACAAGACTTTACAATCTGAATTTAGAGGAGATTATTATAGAACGGTTAAGCTATCCCAGTGCTCCAAATGCTACCCATTCAAATTCTTTAAGATTTCAACAACAACGATATTAGTTTGAAAGGTGTCAGGCCAGATCTAAGGGTTTATCTACGTATCTTGAAAAGACATGTGTCTATACAGCACAGCAAATATCACTAAATGAGACAAATCACCATCCCAGCTCTTCTGTTACATGGCAGGAAGCAAAAGACAAACTAATTACTGATAATTCACTGGAAAATATTCCATTACTCCATCATTCCATCACAGTACTTTCCACTCGTGTGACCTGATGTGTTATTCCAAAGAACTTCGCCTACGATTGTCTCACTGATGAACAGATAAGTCGGACATCCACTCAAAGCAAAAATAGACTTCCTGGAATTTTAATCTGAGATGGAAAAACAGGGGGGGGAAACATAGAGGCTAGAGGAGTCCTTCACTGACAGGGTGCTGTCATTCTATTGAACCTAATGAAATGCCAACAAAAAGAAAAATGGATAGTGTGGAAAAGGCAAGTGACATGCATTGGGAATCAAACCCGGGACTTTCTGCGCAAGGCACTGGTTATGATGTCACCTCGTTTTGTTATGACAGCTGTCTTTTTCCAAAACTGAAATTGTAATTAGCATCCTCGAGTCTTGGCCGTTTGCCACGTGCTCGGCTACCGATCGCAATGTGGGCAATAAAACATAAGGTTAAAAAACAGAGTGGAAGAAGGCAGCGAGCTGCAATGTCTGCTGGCATTATTTATATCCTTAGCCTCAGGGCCATCACATTCCCAGCTCCACTTGTCTCCATTGATCAGCTTCAGCACCCCCCCGCTCCCCCTTGCTCTAAGCTGAGGAAAAATGATTCCCCCCCCCCGCAACACATCCCAAGATGCCAGGACTCAACACACTTGATCTATCAACCGCAGTTTCACAAAAGAGCTCGCTGGATAAGTGGGATTTCATGGTCTTCTTGGTGCCAATACACTTTTTCCTCCTAAAGCTTAAAATATACCTTGACTATTGCTGCTCTTTGTATAAGCTGTCTGCGCTGTGTGACCATACCTGTACAACAGCTCGGCGCACTCCCTCAGTGTTTGCTTTTGGCTGCAGGGAGTCACACCCCAGTTATGAAGATAACGTGCACATATACATTTACCTCTGAAAATGAGGTACTCTGTGCAGGCTGTGCTGTAACTGTGACAGGTAGGTTGACAGCTGTAGTGTGAGGCAAGTCAGTAACAGTCTATAGAAGACACAAAATGAGTGATCTAGGTCTGATCAAGTCAAGTTTTCTCAATTTCCCATATTTATTTCCCTCATCCATTCAAGTACATCAAATGCACTGTTCGCCACATTGTCCATTATTGAGCCTTAAAAGGCAGTAGTCCTGGAGCACCCACCAATTAGTGACCAAGGCAACAAGAACTTTCAGGATTAAGACCAAAGGCCTGAGGGTCTGTGCCTCCCCTCCCCTCAACAGCCGTAATGGACCCTCAGATCTCCACAGAGTGGAGGCCTGCAGGGGGGAGGGGACTGACTGGTAGGCAGGGCTGTCAATCCCGTCCCCACCCCCCAAACTTTTCACCACATTGTTTTTTTTTTTTTATGTGCCCCTTCCACTGAAAACTCAACATGACAAATTCTTAAAGTGTCCGGCCAATCAGTCTATGAGCTCACATTCCAGGTGTGGCGATCATCCAATTAGGAATTCCCAATCCCCAGCCAGCTGGAATAAATGCATTAGTGCAGGCACAGAGCAAAAACACCGAGCACATTCCCAGCCATACTGTTAACAGCTGCGACCAGTATCACTTTAGTTTATTCACTTCTATTAGGACTTTAACAAAACTGTATGTCAAGCTTGTATGGCTCTACACATAGAAGACTAACTCTCCCACCCCCTTCTCTCAGTGGACTGCCACCTTAAAAATGTGCGGGTCAGCATATAAAAACAGACCCCAGCCAAATTACTGCAGCTGCGTTGTACCTGTGTGGGTAAATGAGAGGCCAGTGCGCGAGGTACTTACTTGCCAATCACCTCGCACAACTCGTACACATCCTCGAACAGCACGTCGTCGTCCGCCATGGTCATTCAGGTAAACGAGGATGCTCTCCTCAAGATATCCCACCCACACCACGGGCTCCGAAGGGATCAATGACAACGTAATTTCTTGCTGAACGGGCTTACACCTGTGCCAGTCCACACACACACTTTGTACTTTTTAAACCCCACAAACACGCACACACGGGCACAATGTGATAAACGGGGAAAAACGAACGTGTGCCCAACTTAGCCGGCTAGCCACATTAGCTGGCGTCCAAGGCTGTCACTCCGCGGCCCCACCTTCTCCTGAGCTACTCTCCTGTAGAAGGGCTAGCCAGCGAGCTAGCTAAACAGTAGCCACCGAGCAGACCCTGGGGCGTGGAGATTTCCTCGCTCGTGTGCAGAAAAACATCCCTCTTTGCATGCCTCAGGTTTGTATCTTTACTGGTGCTTGTCGCCGGGGCACAGGAGTCCCCCCTCAGCAGCATCCGACGGATACCTTCCCCTTATCCACCAAGATGCTCCCCTTCGCCGCAAGCTAACGAGACTCTCGGGGAAAAAAAAGAAGGGTTTGCTAGCTGGGTTTAAATGTGAGCTTAGTCGTCGCTGAAATCACAGGTTGGCTCCCTCCGTTATTGCGCTGTGCACGCCCAGTGGTATCACAGACAGCTTATCCCAGCGAGGAAGGGGGGGGGAACCGTAACGTGAGCGGGATACAATACGCTTCAGCTTCCCGAGCCCAAATGGAAGACCTTCACATTCATGTCCACGACTGCTCCTGCTGCTACACGCGCCGTCTGTGCTCGAGGGTGTTCAATTAATGTCGTCTTCCAGCACAGCCGAGCCGACGTCCGCCGCTGCTCCAGTTCTTTCGCTGGATCAGATGCAGGCTGGCTGGCTTTGACTGGTTGTTTCTCCGACTTCCAGAAATGCCCGGCTCCTCCCTCCCTGTCTATCGCCCGGGAAACTGTTCCGACCGGAGCCGAAATGGCCAGGGAAAGCGGGCCCCGGATTCCCGTCTTTTTCCTTGCGTCGCTCGAGCCAAGATGGCGTTTTGTGGGGTCCGATTTAGGCGCAGTTTCCTTAATCTCTTCTCCAACCGTTGCATTCAGTGTATCCCGCGCAGGCGTCGACCGTCCAAACCTCATCACCTTACGTCAGCCCCCCCTCCCTTTTCCCCTTCTTCTTCTCTCCATCATTTCGAACAGTTTATTTCTCCATAAATCTCATCTGCCACTAAGGACTCACGCCCCACACCCTGGCTGCCAGCGACGGGATTAAAACCGTATACTTCACAATCGCTGTCTAAGCGTGGGTGACTGCTGTCCTCAGTGTTTCCTAAATTCCCATGGGTCTTTCGGGAGGTTTCTCAGCAAAACTGATGGACAGCATAGCGTTTGCATTATCTCATTAATCTGACAGTGACCGCTAGATTGTGCCACTGATGTGTACTCTAATTCTCCTCTGTGGAATTTAGATAACTAGCGAAAATAAAGGCTTTTTTCAGTTCAAATGGGCATCCTCAGCACTGTAGTTCAAGTATTAACGCGTAATTATCTACTTTCGCGTAAGCTTTTTGCAGGTGCGGGTTCCCCCGGTGCAGACACGCAGGTAAGGTCTCCTCAGGTGTGGAAAGACGGGCGGAGAAGCCCCCTAGAGGTGATGGTAAAAGGCCTGTCTCCCACTGCTCCATTTTGAATACCCTAAATAGACATCGTTCCAAGGAGAAAATGAGGGGGAAAGTGGAATAAATTAATAAATAATTGACAAAATCCAATTTCACTTTTATTGTAAAACAAATCAAAGATGCAAAAAAAGGCATCAAATCCCGTTTATTAAAGACGTCCATCTTAATTCACCCTATTTGCACTGGATTTTATATGACGTAGAGAACTGCAAAAATCTTGAATCATTTGGAAAATGTATGCAGTCATTTACTACATGTGTAAGTATATGAGGCAAAGTTAGTACAATAGTAACGAGCTTGTCTATGACGCCTTTTTGCCATTTCTTTTGTTCTCCACTAGTCCAGTTTCCAAAAAAGCAAACAAAAAAACAGGGACACAGCTGAGATGTGGCAAGTTTTCAGCTAAGAGCCTTTTGGAAACCTCCAGATTGTAAAAACACTATTATTAAGAGGCATGTGCTATTTCTCATACATTCAACTGAAGAAATTGGAACAAAGTGCTTATCAAACCAACAAACAAAAGACATTCCTGTGAAAATAGTCCGGTACAGGGACTAGACTGAAAATGAGTGCAATGGCAGACAAGGTCCAAAAGAAAAAGCCTGGAGAACTATTATTTAAAACCATTTTTAAAGTCTGGCTCCTTGGAAATGTAAAGAAATTTTATATTTAACTTTTATCTTTAAAACATATATCTGAGAGATATGTCTTTTTTTTCTTTCTTTTTTTTGGAGGGGGTTCCTTCTGTGGAATCAGTTAAAAAGCGAATTTTCTCTTATTTATTCTCCCGTTTTATTTTGTTGGGGTTTTTTTGTTTTGTTTTTTTGTTTTATATATTGCAGAGCTATGTTTTCCAATTACAAATTACCTTTGCATGAAAGTGGTTACAACTGAGGGTTGAAAAGAAAAAAATAAAAGCGTTTGGGTGAGGTACTTCACTAAAGCAAAATAATGAACTCAGACGGCCAGCCCCCCTCTAGAGGGCGCTGTTCTCACAGGGCACCCTCTGCGGTTTCCATGCCGCTGCATCCTTTCTCCTCGAGCATCACCTGCCAGCTTCCCCCATTGGCTTAAGCCCACCAGCAGCTACCGATAATCCGATTGGCTGCTGATGTGGTCATCATACTGTCTGCTTCTGAACAACCCTCCATTTGATGCACACACACACACACACAGCTCGGGGAAAAAAGTGAGACTGGAAGGAAAGTATGCAATAAAAGGAGAGAGATGAATAGGAAAATGATAAAGGAAAGGGAAAACGGCACACATGACAAAAAGACAAGAGCTCTGTTTCCATAGTAACAAGGAAGGGGATATTTTTTTTATGGTGGTTGCATGTGAAACTGGCAGTTCATGAAAAATGCACATACGCTTATACACTCCTATACATCTGGTTGCACTGACATGCATGAATTCCCTGAAACCATCACTACACACGCAGAGAGACAGCCCTGCACTTAATAGCTTTGACAGAAAAATAACCTTCACCTTTAAATTTCATGTGTACCTGGCACACATTATTTTCAGTCCTGCTGGTTAAACCGTTTTGACTAGCTGTGCTTTTCAGAGAACCTTTTGTTTCTCTCCAGGCTGACATAGATTTATCATCAATAATTTAGACCAAATCAGCTGTATAACATTGTATTACAATCCTGCTCGGTCCTCATGGCATAGAGGTGTAATGTAGAGAATAACGTGCCAAAAAAGATATGAAGGAGGATGCTTCAGCGCAGAAAAAGTGGGACATCAGTCAGCTGAATTAGTGCAAGGGGAAACAGGGAAAACAAGGTTTGGACTGCTTAGACTGCTACATGCTTCCAGCTCCATATTCTTCCCTAGGGAGCAATAACCAGCAAAAGGAGAGGAGTCACTTCAACACAAAGTGCCTTAGAAGTGTTTCCTCCTATAACAGAAACTCAATGGGAAATGGGAAAAGTATAAGAATTCAGGTTTTTCAACTAAGTAAGCTGATATATTTAAAAATATTAATAACAGAATATTTTTCAACATTGCAAAATTACCAGTTTGGCAGAAATTGACATTATAAAGTCACAATATTTCTTCTGTCTTTTCACCTCCTGGTTTTATTTGATCATATTGTGATTCTGAGCTAAATTTCAATGTATTTCCAGATTGTTATCTAATAAATAATTAGATTAGGCCATAAACTGCAAATTCACTGAACCAATATGGCTGCTTCGTGAAAACAATAGAAAACAAAATGAAAAAAAA